GAATTTTCACTTGTAATGCTGAAGATAGGACACCCATGAAAACACACATGGTGTCAAAATAAGCCAAAGGAAAATCGTTTGGGCACAATGAAAAGAAAGGATCCCAAGTCTAGTTTATAAAAAAGTTTCCTTTATTAACCTTTGGTAGAGAATATGTTTCTATATTTCCAGAAAACTTCTCTAAGCTCATGTGGATTCCTGCAACAACGGATCCCAGAGAGGAACTGACGACACGCTGAAGACAAGAGGAGAAACAGTCCAGAGATGGAGGTGAAGTTAAAAAATAAACCTTATTTTAGATTAATTTAAATTAGCTAATTGAAATAAGTGAATATTCATTAAAACTTTGTTGTACTGGGCAAAAAACTGTTCCTGAAGCATTAACTAATTGTTTACTAATGGTTTATTTCATAGTAAACTTGCAATGAATTCAAAGCAGTCATATTTCTGTGCTTAAAATAAAATTTAAAAGTTATCAAGACTGCATTACAAAATTTCCAAAGGCCTCTTAATATTATTTAAATCAAAAAAAGGGGATAGTGGAATAATCCCCTGTGAATAAATTACATCAAGAAAATTTTTTACTTTGAAAATTATTTTTCACTTGTAATACTGAAGACAAGACACCCATGAAAACACACATGGTGTCAAAATTAGCCAAAGGAAAATGGTTTGGGCACAATGAAAGGAAAGGATCCCAAGTCTAGTTTATAGAAAAGATTCCTTTATTAACCTTTGGTTGAAGAATATGTTTCTATATTTCCAGAAAACTTCTCTAAGCTCATGTGGATTCCTGCAACAACGGATCCCAGAGAGGAACTGACGACACGCTGAAGACAAGAGGAGAAACAGTCCAGAGATGGAGATGGTGAAGACGCCTTGCCATGCCAGCAGTCAGCAGCTGTGCATCGCTGCAGGTTGCCCAGGACCAAACCAGAAAAGGACCAAACCTGCATTGCCACTGTTTGCCCACCATCCAGAACTAGCATATCATTGCTGGCATGTACACATAAAGAACTGTTGGATAAGGACATTGAAATTGGGACTCAAAAAACTATTGGCCCAGAAAGAAACTTACTACAGACTGATTCCTTGGATGCCTGGCAGCAATTTAAAAAGGACATGACATTTGACTTTCAGCATAACCACTAGCCTTTCAGCAATAACCACAATTCCCTGTCTCATTTTTGTTA